GGTTTGGCCACTCCCTACCTCCACTCAAAAAATAAAATCAGAAACCCTCAAATCTGAATCAGCCTTCATGAGTTTCCTTTTTATTCCTCGGATTTGAATTGTGGGAGAAGGGAAGGGGCTGGGTTTTCCCAAGGGTTGGCAGTGAATTTCTGAATTTCAGCATCATTTGTAGATTGTAAGTTGTTTTCTTCTTTATGTTGGAAGCATAGTCTTCAGTGTCGTTCAGACACATGCCTTGTTTTTGCTCCTCCCTGTTGAAAACCAAAACCAAGGAACTGGTTGTCAGTTTAAAGATGCCAAGAGTGGGAGCACAGTGGGGCACAGTGAGGAAGCCTGGCATGTTGCTGATCCGGATTCCCCCAGCACCACATGTGACCCCCTGAGCACCTTTAGGACTGACCTCAGCACAGAGCTAGCATGAACCCAGAGAACTACTGGGTGTGGCCCAATTCCCCTTCCCCCAGAATGAATGCCAAGAGTATGACAAGCTGTTCTGCCCCCCACATTCTCCCAAATGTAGGATGTTGTGTTTCTAAGCCAGACCTAGTCTCTCTGCTGGAGCAAAGGAAGAAGGATCCCTGGGTGGTTAAAAGAGAATCAACAAAAGTCCTGGTCTCAGGTGAGTCCGGGTGGGCTGGCGTGGACAAGCCCTTGTAGATTTGAGTCTTATTTTCATCATGAAAGTCTGATGCTTAATAGTGTATACAGGAATGTGTCGGCAAGTTTTTCAGATCTGGAGAGAAAATCTGAGTCCAGCTTTCCCAATGAGTCTCTTCCTTTCCTCACCCTTCTCTGGAGCCAGTCATCCCTCAGGCTCTGAGAGCTGGTGCTTCTGGGGCGTGGTTCCTCATGTGACCTTGAATTGACCCTGCGCTACTGCTGTGTCTCTGCCTTGGTCTGGTGGTTCCCACATGAGGTTCTCAAACATTCCCAAAGGTGCAATTCGTTCTCTTTTTGTGATTTAGTAATCTTTGTGTGAATGAATCACATTTTGTTTGTCCATTTATTCTCCCATTGATGCACCTTTGCTTAGGTCCCTTTTGGCTGTGGGACCTAGTTCTGTGCTGCTGTGGACATTTATGTGCAGTGTTTTATTTTGGTGTCCACTTGTAATTACTTGTGCTATGCACCAAGGATTGTAATTCTGATCATTCCACGTGGAGGAACCACAATTTCAATGGCGGCTACACCATTCTACCCACAAGCGCAGCATTTAAGGTATTCTGTTGTCCACAACCTTGTCAGCTCCTCATTAATGTTTCTCTTAAACTCTAGCCATCACACTGATGCACTTGCTTGCATTTCCCTAATGACTAATGGCATCTTTCACATATTAGTGATGATATGTTTTGCAGAGATGTCTTTTTAAGTTCTTTGCTTGTTTTTCAGTTCAGTTTATCTTTTATTACTGAGGAACTAGACCTGGGTTACATGTATCAGTTGCAAATATGTTTTCTGCTCTATGGCTATCATTATTATCTTCTTGTGTGCATTGGATTTCATCTTTTGCTCCCTTGATTTGTATTATAGGGGGCTTGAGTTTTTTGTTTTGGGTCACCTCCAGGTGCTCAGGGTTACTCCTGGAGAGTGTGTGGAACAGGTGGTCCAGAGATGAATCTGGGTCTCTTGCCCTGAGGGTATAATCACAAGCTCTTTTATCTGTGTCTCCTGCCCAGCTGCATATGTGTTGGATTTTGATGAATTATTCTTTTTATTCTTTTTTCTTTTCTTTTTATCCAGTTTATTATTATTTTTTTTGCTTATACTTTTGGTGTTATATGACAGAACCCATTCCCAGATTAGGGGTGGTGTAGATATATGCCTCTGTGTGTGTGTGTGTGTGTGTGTATGTATGTATGTGTAAGCATTTAGAGTTAAATTTTGCTAATGGTGTGAGGTTTGTATAATTTCATTCATTTGCCAGTGGGTATCCAATATTCCTGGTGCCATTTGATTCTCCATTGAATGTTCTTGGCACCCTCATGGAAAAATAAGTACATGGATAGGATGTTAATTTTAAGTGGGATCAAGTTATTACCCTGCCCAATAATGCAATAAATAAGACTGTGATTTTTTTTTGGGGGGGGGAGTGGGGGAGGGGGTGTGTCTATGCCAGTCATGATGATGGTGGCCACCACCAGCCTGTGTGAGTTAGTGGTGGACTCCCGGCATGGCCTCTCCGGTATGCCCTCGTTGTCCCCAGGACTCTGGCCGAGGCATGTGACAAGCCCCCACACCCCACCACTGCCTTTTCCTCCCAAGTGCGCAGAGAAGCACGGGTGCTCTCGGACCTGCCAGGCCACGGACCCTGCCCAGTGGCCAAGACTGATTTTTTTTAATGAGTATAAATTGAACCTCAACAAAAGATTTTATTTCAGAATTCTCAGTCTGTTCCATTCATCTTCTTTCTTCTTTAGACCAGGAATTAAGTAATTTATTCTTTTAAAGCCTTTTTAAATGTAATTTAATTTATAATTTTTGAATTAATTCCCATTCCATAGAAAAGTAGCTGATTTTTATGTTGATTTATAGCCTGCAATAATTTTCATGATGAAATTTATGAGCTTTTCTCATGGATTATTTATTATTGTGGGTTTTTAATTTTTTTGGAGGGGGTTTGGGCTACACTTAACAATGTGCAGACCAGTTCCTGGCTCTGCCCAGGAGTGACCCCTGACAGTGCTTGAGGAACCAGGTATTTGAATCAGGACCAGCTACATACAAATCAGGTGTTTTTACTCCTGTCCTATGTTGTGAATTCTTACAGGGTTTTCTACATATGGACTTTTGCAGTTCTTCCTTCTAATTTTGATGCCTAACTTATGTTTCTGATTATTCTTGCTGTGTTGAACTTCCAGGACTGGGTTGAGTGGGAGCCATGAAAACAGACATCATTAGTACTTACTCACCCGAGAAGGAAGCTTTTTGTGTTTTTAAAAATAAGATTTTTCCGTCTCCCTTTGTTTTGTTCTTGGTGCCTGTCTGAAACGCAGGGCCTCACATGTTTGAGGTGTGTACTCTGCTGCTGATCTTGCTCCTTTTCCCTTTTTAGCATCATCTGGGAACCAGAGAGAAAGTACAGGGGTTAAGGCTCCAGCTTTGCATCCTGCCTACTGAATGGTGTCCATCCCCAACACCACACATGCTTTTCTGAGCACCACCAGCAGTTACTTCTGAACACAGAGACAGGAATAGCCCAGAACACCACAGGATGTAGCCCCAAAAGCCAAAACAAGCTAATATATTGTCTTCCCAATAATTTGATTCTACAGAGTGGTAGAGTTATACACGCATAAAACTATAGTATATTTTGGCAAATTTTAGCAAAGAGGATTTCTGACATTTTTCTGCTTCTTCCTGTAAGCTTATAGTCTGAGATCAGATACATATCTGTTTAGTAATATACATGTGGATACCACTTGGTAGACTATCAGCACTTACTGTAATATAAAAGGCCAGAAAGTACTATCTCTCCAGGGGTTAAGGCACTTGCCTTGTAGCATTGCATGGTCCCCCCCAGACATAGTCTATAATAACCCCTGAGCATGGAACCTGGAGTAGACCCCCAAGCACCACCAGGTGTCACCCCTGCCCTCCACCTCCCAAATAGAGAGTGAGAAATTAAGGTACAGAACCTTGATCACTTGACCACTTGATACCCCGTTACTCATCGATTTACTAAGGTACAGAACCTTATCCTTAATAAATGGCTAGAAAAGTTAGGAATTTTGTCAGGCTTGTATGAGAAAGTGGGTTAATGTAGAATTAATCTTCATTAATCAATTGGTGATACAGCTTTTGGTGAAATTTCTTGGATGAAATACGATTCACAAAAATAACATGTTCTGGTGGTAGGAATATAACTGTGTCTTGAGCTAAATCTGAAGGGCACCTTAGAGAAAATGACAACCTAGGTGTCATTTTTTGTGCTTGGAATGACTCTGCCATCCCGGGCAGGGCAGACAAGAATATGAGACTAAAGGCAGAGTCGTGTCCTGTCTTTTAGGGGTAGGGATTGGGGTGATTTTCCTCACTGCTCTTATTTTGACTCTTTGCTTAATATTTGTACCCAGTTTCTCATATATTTCATTCTACTCCCTGGCCAAGGTTCCTGTGGGAATTCAGTATTATAGACATTGAAGACTGCTTTTGTGTATCAGCCTTTTTTTTTTTTTTTTGCTTTTTGGGTCACACCCGGAAATGCATAGGGGTTACTCCTGGCTCTGCACTCAGGAATTACTCCTGGCGGTGCTCAGGGGACCATATGGGATCCTGGAAATTGAACCTGGGTCAACCGTGTGCAAGGTAAATGCCCTACCCACTGTGCTATTGCTCCAGCCCCCATCAGCCTTTGCTTTGTGTGGGGACACAAACCTAGCAGTTCTCAAGTTTTGAGGGGCAACTCCGAGTGGTGCTATGGATGGAACTCAGGGTTCCCACATACTCAGCCCTTTGAGTCATCTCCCTGACCCAAGTGGAAAAGCCTATAAAGGACCATAATTTGTAGTTTAGTTAACCAATAAGTGAGTTTCTACCACAGTGTTCCTGTTAGATTCCTTTTATTCTAGTATATGATAAAGTAAATATTTGTTTCCTTGATATGTTTTCAGGCCAACTGTCTGTACGTGAGATCCAGGATTTATATCCTAAGCAGGATTTATTTGATGAAGTAACAGACACAACTTTAAGTACTATTGTGGAATCATCTATGTTTCAAAGACATTTGTCTTCTGTGGGTTCCTTTGAAAGGAAGCTGGTAGGTGAGAACATAGAATTCTGCCAAGGGACAATCACTGATAACAAGTCCCTTGCTCTGGAAAGAGAGTGTACCTATAACAAACCTGGAAGATGGTTCCAATTGATTGGCTCAGAAGAGAGTGTTCAGAATCAAGATTCCCTCCACAGTTTCTCCAAAACTTCAGTGCTCATAAAACATAGAGTAGTTTATGCAGGAAAAAAGCTTTTCAAATGTAACGAATGTAAGAAAACTTTTACCCAGAGCTCCTCCCTTACAGTTCATCAGAGAATTCATACTGGAGAGAAACCCTATAAATGTAAGGAATGTGGGAAGGCCTTTAGTGATGGTTCATCCTTTGCTCGCCATCAAAGATGTCACACTGGTAAGAAGCCCTATGAGTGTATGGAGTGTGGGAAAGCGTTCATCCAGAACACATCTCTGCTTCGTCACTGGAGGTACTACCACACGGAGGAGAAACCCTTTGGTTGCACTGACTGTGGCAAGGCCTTTAGTGACCACATAGGACTCAATCAACACAGGAGAATTCACACGGGAGAGAAGCCCTACAGATGCAACGTGTGTGACAAATCCTTCAGGTATGGTTCCTCTCTTACTGTGCACCAGAGGATCCACACCGGGGAGAAACCATATGAATGCGATGCATGTGGGAAAGCCTTTGGTCATCACGCCTCGCTCACGCAGCATCAGAGAGTACACTCTGGAGAAAAGCCCTTCAAGTGCCAAGAGTGTGGAAAGGCTTTTCGGCAGAATATTCACCTAGCCAGTCACCTGAGGATTCATACTGGGGAGAAGCCCTTTGAGTGTGGTGAGTGCGGAAAGTCCTTTAGCATCAGCTCTCAGCTGGCCACTCACCAGAGAATCCACACGGGAGAGAAGCCCTATGAATGTGATGTTTGCAGCAAGTCCTTCACACAGAAGGCCCACCTGGCACAGCACCAGAAAACACACACAGGTGAGAAACCGTATGAGTGCAGGGAGTGTGGGAAGGCCTTCAGCCAGACCACACACCTTGTTCAGCACCAGCGGGTTCATACTGGGGAGAAGCCCTATAAGTGTGCTGAGTGTGGCAAGGCCTTTGGTGACAACTCATCCTGCACACAGCATCAGAGGCTTCACACTGGCCAAAGACCATACGAATGCATTGACTGTGGGAAGGCATTCAAGACAAAATCATCCCTTATCTGTCACCGCAGAAGTCATACTGGGGAAAAACCATATGAATGCAGCACATGTGGCAAAGCCTTCAGCCACCGCCAGTCTCTCAGTGTCCATCAGAGAATTCATTCTGGGAAGAAACCATATGAATGCAAGGAGTGCAGGAAGACCTTCATCCAGATTGGACACCTTAACCAGCACAAACGAGTCCACTCTGGAGAGAGATCCTGTAACTACAAGAGAGGCAGGAGAGTCTTTAGGTCGCCTGTGCACTTTGCTCATCTGAGAAGCCATACCGAAGCACTGCCAGCCCACCCCTCTTTCCCTTCCACACCAAGCCCTGTGGGTCTGTTTCCCAAATTCCTTTGGAGTTCATCCTCACTGCCATCATCCTAGTTGGAGTTATACATGTTAGCTAGAACTTCTCAATAGTCTGAAAACTGGGTTTTTTCTCGGTTGTGTTTTTAACACGTTTGTTCTTCTAATTTGTTGAATTTTCTTTCTTGGGGGGGGGGTCACTGTCATTCATTCATGTCAAACTTGTGTTGAGATCTTTTAACTGGTTAGTACGAGCTTAGCACAATGCCTGGTCCATTCTAAGTGTTTAGTAATATTAGCCTTTAAATATATTATTTCAGTCACTGATAAGTAAGTAAATGATGGGTTAACATTTTCTGGGTTAACATTGTCTTTCTCATTCTCAGAGTAAGAGAATGGGAAACCAGATTTTAAATCAGGAACTGGAGTTTCAAGATAATCAAGATATTTTATTCCTATGTTGATGTAAAATTAGGTTTCATAAAGTTGGGTTATTGTGACTTTCTACTTTATCTGTGTAAATGTAAGGTATATGGCCTTGTTGATGAGAAAATTGGATTTTTGATTGCATATTTAACAATAGGTCTAGAGAGTACACGAGTAGGACACTTTGGGCAAAAGTACAAAAACAGTGAAATAAAAGGTTATATGCATAATGTTTCAATTGGCATTTGCTTTGGAATTGGGAAAGCCAATGAGATGTGTTGTTTCAATTCATGTGAGCTTATGAATTCCATGGAATATCTAAGGAAACAGTAGGTGAGTGGGGATTAGTAAACTATGACTCATAGCCAAAATTCCACTGTTTTGTTGTGATCTGTGATCTAATATTTTTGTTTGTTTTTTTGGTGCTCAAGGTTACTCCTGGCTCTGTGCTGAGGAATCACTTCTGGAAGGGCTTGGGACCATATGGGATGTCAGGGATTGAGGGTCAGTTTCATAAAAGGCAAGTGATTTACCTGCTACACTATTGTATAGCCTTAATCTAAACACTTTTTGGTGCTTCAGTGGTGCTTGGTGTACCTTGAGGTGACAGGATTTGGACCAGGGCCCCTGTGTGCAAAGCATGCACTCTAGCGCTTTGTGCTTGCCTGTGTGATCTAAATTCTAAAAATTCTTAAGGGGCTAGAGCAATAGCACAGCAGGTAGGGCGTTTGCCTTGTATGCGGCCAACCCGGGTTCGATTCCCAGCATCCCATATCGTCCCCTGAGCACTGCCAGGGGTAATTCCTGAGTGCAGAGCCAGGAGGAACCCCTGGCATTTCTGGGTGTGACCCAAAAAGCAAAAAAAATTCTTAAATCGCTGCATATCTGAAATTACTTTCTGACAGCACAAAATTTTCAGAAATTTTGATTTGTAAATAATGGTCTATTGAATTGCAGCCACGTATTTGTTTCTATATTGCCTATGGCTGCTTTCCCTGTGCAGTGGAAGAGTTGAGTGGCTACAACTATTATTTTTATTTTTTGGGTTTTGGGACTCACCCATGATGCTCTGGACTGACTCATGACTCTATATTCAGGGATCACTTCTGGCAGGCTCCAGGGACCACATGGGGAGGAACACTGGTTGGCCACTTGCAATAAAAACACCCTACTTGCTCTACTATTGCTGCGGCCCCTGCAGCTGTTCTGTAGCACTGTCCTTCCATTGTTCATCGATTTGCTTGAGCGGGCCCAGTAATGTCTTCATCATTGTTGTTACTGTGTTTGGCATTTTGACCTACAAAGCAACACATATTTCTATGTATCTCGGGAAAGTGTTTTACAGATCCTTGCTCTAGCACAAAAAAGATAAAGTTTCTACTCATCTGTGTGCATAATATAGATGTTACCTCAGAAACAAAACTACAAACAGTTCATGAAGAGTTGATATTAATATATTGTAAAAGGAGAAAATATTTTTCTTGCTGACAATACTACCAAAATATTTGGAAATTGTTATTCACAGAATCCTAGTAGGATATGTTTACTTGGACAGTTTTATTTAAAACAACGTAAGTGGGAAGGAATTCTTGGGAAAGAATAGCGAGAAAATTTTTGATAAGTTCTTTGCAAAGGAAATTTTGTTTTTATGTTTTATTTGTTTTATTTTGGGCCGCACCCTCTGGTGCTCAGGGGCTTCCTGGCTCTGCACACAAGGATTACTCCTTGTGAGCTTGGCGGACCATATGGGATGCTAGGGGTTGAACCCAGGTTGACTGCATGCAAGGTAAGCACCTCACCCGTTATACTGTCACTTCAGTCCCTGAATTTTGGTATATATAATTATCTTTGATTGGGGCAATATTTTGGAAAACTAGTTATTTACCCTCAGAATTTGAAGCACACTTAGAGAAACCTATACATTTGTATTTAATATCTGATCATGAATAAATACTTAAGGGGAGAGTGAGAAAGCTTCACGAAGACATAGAACCCTAGAAGACAGGGAAGAGGGGAGGCAAAAGTTTGTCAAGACTAGTGACAGCACCTGTGCAATGTATAATAAAACAAATGATAATCACTCATTTAAATTGTTAAGAAAATTAGTGCATATCAAGTCATGCCACTGATGACGGATACAAATGAACAAAATCTCTTAAGCTTGTGAATCAGAAAAATGTAAATTGGATTATATGGTCCGTCAATGGAGTCAAACCTACCCTGCATAATTCTGGCGTGGTTGTTATGTACTGAGCAGGTGCCCGTTAGCAGTATAAAATTGGTTTTCTATGTTCTGGATGCTGTGGCATCACATATATGTGTGGTCTTAAAAAATAATTTTAGATCTAGGAGTTGTATCCCACTGGAACAAATGGATGTAAATAAATGTTTGCTGCAAAATTGTTTTAATCATGACATACAGGATTTTAGTCTTCTGCAAAACAGATGGATTAATGTGACTATTCAATACTGTATTATTGTTCAGTTAGTAATTATACTCGAGGTATGAGTCTAAGGAGTGTTGACATTCTATAATATATTAAGTTAAATATGTAATTTGAAGAGCCTTATGTGTGTAATGATCTTATATTCATAGTCAAAATATTTGGTATATGTAGGATAACATTGGTTCGCCCTTCTCCTTGGCTGCAGGGAGCTTGGGTTTGTTGATTGCTCACCCAACCTGTCAATTACCTTTGCCTCCTGATCAGACTCTCCTGACTCATAAATATTGTTTTTCTCTTCTCCTTGGTGTCCTTTGCATAGTTACTTCAGAGCAATTACTTTTTTTCAATGTAGGAGTATTGCTATTTATTCAGCTACTGATTAGCTGATTGAATTGGGCATGAACTCCACCTTACTTTTTTTACATAATTTTATTTTTTTCTTCTTATATTTATCTATTGAATGACTGTGGGAAAAGTTACAAAGCTTTCAGGTTTAAGTCTCAGTTATACAATGATTAAATACCTTTCCCTTCACCAGTATTAATTTTTCACCACCAAGAACCCCAATATACCCCCCTCCCACTCCTCCCAATGCCTGTGAGGCAGATGATTTCTACTTAATTCTTCTCTACATTGATTACATTCATTATTTTGACAAAAGATGCACCATTATTGTTCAGAATTCCCCCCCCCCCCCCCAACAATAAGGATTGCTGAAAAGGCATTGTGAAATACTTTGTTTTCTATAGTTGGTTATGAGAATCATATAATGATTTTGGATTTCTGCAAAGAGCCAGATCATTACAAGATTGGTTTCTGTGCGTCTCATGTTATGGCTGTGCCAGAGAGCTGCTTATGGGGGCAACTCATGACCTCAGTAGGGCGTGAAGGACGAGCTTGTACCTCCCCACTTCCCATGAGACTGCAGTTTCCCCGTCACCACTGGCTCATACCTGGCTTTCCAATAAGCTCTGAGGTGGTGGCCACCTTACTGCTGGGGGGGGGGGAGGAGGTGGAAGGGAGAAACACCCTTTCCTCCCAGGAAGGCATGGCGCCATAGAAGGCATGGCGCCATAGTTTAACGCATGGTCCATTCACTTTTCTGCCATACGCTGCCAGGCTCTGGACTCCCTTTTCCTCTGGAGCCATGGTCGTGCTGGAGAGCCGCTCGTGGGGGGCAACTTGTGATCTTGGTAGGGCGTGAAGGACGAGCTGGTACCTCCCCCTTTCCAATGAGACTGCAGTTGCCCCGTCACTGCTGGCTCATACCTGGCTTTCCAGCAATCTCTGAGGTGGCAGCCACCTTGCTGCAGGGGGGTGGGGGTAAAGGGAGCAACACCCTTTCCCTCCTGGGGAGGCATGGTGCTAGTTTAACGCATGGTCCATTCACTTTTCTGCTGCAAGTTTCCGGGCTCTGGATTAAGTTCTTTTGCCTCTAGAGCCATGGCCATGCTGGAGAACCGCTTGTGAGGGGCAACTCATGACCTTGGTAGGGCATGAAGGATGAGCAGGTACTGCCCCCCTTCCCATGAGACTGAAGTTTCCCTGTCACAGCCGGCCATACCTGGCTTTCCAATAAGCTCTAAGGCAGCGGCTACCTTGTATGCGGTCCATATGCATTTCTGCCAAAAGCTGTTGGGTTTCGAGATTTGTTTCTGAGTCTCTGGGATCATGGCCATTAAGCAGCTTGATCAGGAGTCAGAGAGGCCATTTGTAGGTGGTGACTCAGGGTCTCGTTGCGATGGGGAGGAAAGGGCCAGTTACACCTGTATCTGGTGAGGCCCCACGTGTCTCGTCACTGCAGGCCCAAACCTGACTGTCCAGTGTCCTCTGGAGAGTGGTGGTCAACGGGCCGCCAAGGGGAACAGGCCAAGGCACAAAACCTATTCCCACCTGGAGCGGCCCAGTGCCAGTAATCTACTGCAGGAACAGGATGCATTTCTGCCAAATGACTTTGGGTTCCAAGATTCCTTTCTGAGTCTCTGGGATCATGGCTATTAAACAGTTCAATCAGGAACCAGAGAAGCCATGACTCCAA